CCCCCGCGCGCCTTCTCCAAATACCCCTACTCATTTGCAGAAAAATCTGCACATACCCGTTCCCCCACCCCATTGTCTTCTCCAAATACCCCCATCTCTTTTTTGCTAAAACATCTGGGCACCTACATACTCTTTCTTTTTTATTAGTGTCTTTTTCAAAAAAAAATATTCTTTTTTACCCTAATTAGCAGGTTTATAATTCACCAAAAAATAAACTTACTCCTCTTTAAATATTGAATTATTCATTTAAATATTAAATTCTTTCTCATGAATAATTCAATATTTAATCTTGAAATGGGTCTATTCCTAAATTTCTAAAATAGTTTCATCATTTTTCATCATTTTACTGTAACTATTTTTATTCACCATGTTGGATATTTAAGTTTGCAAAAAGGTGGCTGAAAATGGGAAAGAAGAAGAAAAAAATAATTAAAAAATCAACTAAATAGGTTTTTCACGCGCGCTCAACAAGTGTATTACACTCACTAAGCCATGTAAGCAAAAAAGTGTCAAAAATGACACAGCGAGACCTTACATGAGGTGTCTAAAATGAACATCGCCCACTTAAGGTGCCTAAGTGAAAACTTCGTGCCAAATTTAAGGGGCCACCGATGGGTTAGCCCAAAGAAAAATTATAAGAATAAAATAGAAAAACTTAATTAATCTTATATTGATTTTGTAAATTGACAGATAATTTGAAATAATTATTTTTATTTAAGAGGGGACAACGAGACAATTAGAGTAGGTGAGATTCCTTGAGCAATAATTGAACCAATCTGGTCATTTTATACCAGTCAATGGTGACCAAATTATTTGCGGAAGATTGACATAATCTAGAACACCCTATTGGTTTGATTATTTAAACTAGTCATTTTATATACTACTCCCTCCGTCCCATATTATAAGTCACCATTTCTATTTGCACTTGCATTAAGAAATAAGGTAATTTTACTCTTATGCCTTTATTTAATGTTTGCTTATGATAACTTTGTAATAAATGATGAAATGATAGATTTCAAAAATATAAATGCATTTGAATGACTATTTAAATTTTACTTTTTGGAGTCAAATGTTTTCACCAATTGATCCAAAAAAATTTAAATTCAAGTTTTTCCCACCTCAATTTTCCTATATATTTTGTGTAAAATGTTTTTTTATATATTTATATATAAATTCTTAAAGCAAACATGACAACATCACAAAATATTCAACTTTCAAGATTATTTTTGAATTTTTTTCCATCTTTTATTTTTAATTTGTTTGTTGATATTTTTCTTCAAAATTAGATTTTATAGAATAAGTAGTGAAAGTTAATTAATGAATGAAGTACTCTCCCAATGAAATTAATTAGTTGCAGATTTCCTAGGTTAGTCAAAGTAAATTTTCAAGGTTAATTAATTAATCAATCAAGGATATAATGGGTTATGCATAAATTTTATAAAATGACATATATTGTGGTCCAACTATTTTTAGAAAGGGGTGACTTATAATATGGGACGGAGGGAGTACTCCCTTCATTTCAAATTAATTGAATTGTTGAGGTGTTTCACACTCTTTAAGAAAAGAAGATTAAGATATAAATTAGGCATAACTTTTCATTTTTACCTTTATTAATTATTGTCAAATTTATGATTAAAATAACTAAATAGTAATTAATAACTAATTTCAATACTAACTAATGAAAGGTAAAATCGAAAGAACATTCTAAAAATAGTCTTGAAAATTGAACAACTAAGTTAATTTAAAAAATAAAAAATGTCTCAATAATTCAATTAATATGAAATATAGGGAGTATGATTATTGACTTGTAGGGCGTCACATAATTGGCTTGTAAAGTCGGTGTAAAACGATAAGTGAAAAATTTGTTAGGCGGCAAAGGGTTTGAATTTTAAAAAGTGGTCATACCATTGACATTTCCTCGGATACATGAAAAAGATAATGTTATTTTATGGGAGTTTATTAGCAAACACATATAAAAAAGGAAAAGACTCAAATTTGTCATTGAACTTTCAGAAAAAGTTCATTTATGTCATTTATTAAAAGTTTGGTTAATGTCATTGTTGTTAAAGAAAATGTTTATCCATATCATTTTTTTAACTCCGGTTTTCCAAAACCATTTTTACATCCCAAACAACTTTTAACAATTTTCAATTGAAGTTTTTGGATCAAAAGAGTACATTTGATTCAAAAATTCCAATTGAAAAGTGTTAAACCTTGTTTGGGGTGTTAAAAGTGGTTTTGCAAAACCGAAGTTAAAAAAATGGCATGGATGAGCCTTTTCTTTACCAGCAATGACATCGATGAGCCAAACTTTTAACTAATGGCATAAATGAGCCTTTTCTGAAAGTTCGATGGCATTTTTGAGCATTTTCCCTAATATTGAAATTCCTCATGTACCCCCCTCTCTCTGTGTGTGTATTTGTTACTACCATTTACTATCAAGCTTTTCTTCCCAAGCAATATGCAATACTATCACAAAATTAAGCATATCAAGTTATAGAGATATCTTACATTAAGATCTAATTTGTAAAGAGCATATACTCTGATAACTTTGATTGCCAAAGTTACATGTTCAATGGAGAAAAACAACAAACTAAACATTAAAATTAAATTATTTGTGTTCTGATTGTCAATGGCGTAGCCAAGAAATTGATGAATGATGTCCAAAATTAGATACATATACCGGATTATCCTTCGCCTAAGGTGGCTTCGTGTGAGAAACGGCATAAAAAAAAGTATATTTGCTTTCATTGAGAGTTGAACTCAAGACCTCCCGCTTACTAAACGGGTGCTCTAACCAACTGAGCTATGAGAGCAGATATGATTGACTTCTTCATAAAATTAAAATATTTAAAAATGGAAAAGGAATATTTTCAATGATAAATTTCCGATATCTGATATTGCAACTCCATTTTCAAACCACAAGCTAAGTTTTTCCATAGGAAGAACCACACACCAATCCGTATTGTAAACCACAAATGAACTCATATTGTAGCCAAATAAGACTAACAGTTAGGGGCAGACATGTGGGCTCAGTTGAACCCAATAAATTTTGCTCACACAATGTATTTTTATAAAGAAATATGTGTAAATATTAAATTTAGAACTCAATTATTACTTAACTTTGTCATTGTAAAATTGGGAACCCACAAAATTGAAATCATAATTTCGCCTTTGCTAACAGTACCATCATTACCAAACTATTGGTATGGTGTAACTAAACCCCCTATACTTTCTTTTTTCCCCTCACTATAACCGTGTTAAGTTATGCATTTTTTATTGTTGAAAGAGATGAGAAATTATTTAAAATCTCAAAAGATATGCATATTTCACTAATTAAATTTCTTATCATGTACTCACGTAATATTCTTGTCATAAGTGGTTCAAATTACCTCAACTCACTCAGCTAAGGCATCCCAAAGTTTTAAGCTTCAACGCATCACATTAAGGTAAGTATTTGCTAAACCCTCTATGTATTGGTCTGATTCTTGGGTGTGAAACACTTTCATGGTTTCGAGTACCTAAGGAGAAGAAAGAACGGGGCATCGTTCGACGGTTTTTCGAACCCAAGAATGTCATCCTTAAATTAGTCGTGAAAACCCATTAAACAATGTATCGTTCAAGGGTTGAACCAAAAGGTGAGACTACCTTTCAACCTAGTC